TTTCATGTCATTAGCACCTCTAGTAATATATTGACTGAGAAAAATGTTGACGTGTTTAATACTAATTTTAACTTTCATTTTGGGCTGCTCTGAACTCCCGAGCTGCCCAGGAACCACCTCGTTGTTAGCTGCCACCTGGACGAGCCCCGGTTCTGAGCCAACCTCTCACGCTGCTGACTGCACCGGGTCCACAAAGGCCTACATCCATTGGACCGACAGAAGGCCACGGTGTCTGCCGTCCATCCAGGCCGACACCCTTTAAGCTGGTGTCTTGTCGACTCACCTCGTCTGGTTGGTCCTGACACAGTAAAACTGGGTTTACCCTCAGCTGGCGTGCTCATCTTGGCTCAAAGCTTTAAAATAAACAATGTAAAGATCCTAAGCTTCGCTAAGATTTGTTTCTTTGTCTGTTTGCCCCACTCTCCTATGTCTCTTCTCTCTCTCTCTGTCTCTCTCTCTCTCACACACACACACACAACCCTAAACATATATAAAATAACCTGCTTTTACTTAGTTAAAACTGTTAGACAAACTGCTCAGCTCATCTGCTTAGAAAAGTAGAAAATTAATTGTGTTATACTGAGAGCTCATTTATTGTTTAATCATTGTAATCACTTATTAATCATCCAATATTATCCTCCTAATAAAAGTCAGTTAGTCTTTAACTAGTTAAAATAAAATTACAGCTCGTTGTGTGTTTTCTGTGTGTATTTTGCTGACTGAACTATTCTGAAAACTTGGTGCTTCAAGAACTCACAGATTGCTCTCAATTAAAATCATGGTTGTGATTTTAATGAGGGATATATCGACATTGTAATACAGACCAGCCGTCACCATCTACAATAAGTCTTTAGTTAAATGAGTTACTACAACTAATTTCACTTGGGGATCAATAAAATATTTTGAATTGAACTGAACTGACGTTTCTTTTGAAACAAATTGTTAAAGCTGAGTCTTCCTGTCTCACTTAACTATTTATTAAAGCACAGAACATACAAACAGTCTTGTGTGTTTTGACACAAATATATCTTGAATCTTATGTTTCTGAGACTATCCACAAACTTTAACAGGAAGCAGCTATGAACAAACTTGGTAAATATAATCAAATGCTGAGAAAGATAAGTGAACTACATGAAACAGAGGTGGTGTATGTTAAATAGTGTCCACAGTTCACAGATTACTAATGAGCTAAAAAGAAGTGAAAATGTTAATGTGAGACAGGATACCATCCTCTTCACATTTAGACGTTTYAGCATCTTGAAATCCACACAAGCATCTGGCCTTGCATCAAAGCTCTGCTGTTCAGTTCACTTTTTCATGATTGAAGACAGTTCAAGAATCATGCTCTGAAAAAAAAGAAAAAAGGGAAAATGAGATATTCAGATAACAGAAACAAATCACAACAACTATAAGAACTTTAGGGAATGTAAAACTTGACTTTTCAGAATTATGTTTTGTATAGTGGTATTAATGTATATTTTCAGATCTTCCAAGGAGCCACTTATGGAACTCTCTGTGCATTGCTGCCCAAATCAAATTCTGGAAGTGGTCATTCAGCTAGATCTGTTACAAAAGGACAACTGATATTACCAACTTTTAAAAACTGTTACGGCCAGAGGTCTTTCTTCTATGTTTATACTAAAVCATGGRATGACATTCCTCAAAACATAAAGTCCATTTCAAAACTACAGCCCTGTAAGAAGAATCTTGTCTGCCATCTGCTGGACACTTTTTATTGTGCTCATATTTAGATGTCCTATTTTACAAATGCTGCCTTCTTGAAATTTGGTATGCTTGTTTGTCTTTGTGTTTATGGTGTATAATGATGTGATTGTGATGCTGTTTTTCTGAGTGTTTTATGTGCTGCAGAACAGGAACCTGCTGTAAAACAGCAATAATGCTGAGTCATGCTTGATTTTTAGTAATCTTTTCCTGTTAAATCAATAAATCAAATCAAATCAAGACCTCATTTTGTAATAATAAAGCATTATGTAATAATGAATTAAAATCATGCTTCAAATATAATAAACTCACGCTAAAACCACATTATGTAATAAGTGACACAAAATGTAATAAAAATCTTTAACGCATTATGTAATAATGTTATTACATTTTGCGGCAATTATTACAAAATGTGGTGGTGTAATCTGGTGCTTTATGTAATAAACAATTAAAAACCAGTATTTCTGTTCATCTTAATCAATATACTTGTAATAACTGCCATGTTGCAAATACTACATAATTAAATCTTTATAACTTTGGTCAATAAACAACAAACTTCTCATCTTTTTTGCATTTTCAGTCAATTTCTTGTGTGTATTGATGTATAGAGCAATCTCACAGATTGTTTTCATGTTTCATGGAATCTTTCAAAAATTTAGTTTCTAATTTATTCAACATCAGAGCCTGTAGGACGTTAAAAAAACAATTATTAACATCAAATATCCACTTCCAACCCGCTCTATTGATAGAACCAAGTTCTTCCACCCTCATTTCCTTCTGATACAGAAGCTGAACCTGYAACCTGCATGTGATTAATACAGATTCTTTTCTTTTTTATGAAAATTACAGATTTTTAAGGCTCATTGTACAGGTAAATGTCTGAAGGGGTTGACATGTTTGTACAACTAACTTTTAGATATATTTTGGGAGTTGTTTACAAAGTAGAATAATTTCTGTAACAGGGATCAGGTCAGTAAATCTGAAAATGTAAATAAAAGATGAGAAGTTTGTTGTTTATTGACCAAAGTTATAAAGATTTAATTATGTAGTATTTGCAACATGACAGTTATTACAAGTATATTGATTAGGATGAACAGAAATACTGGTTTTTGATTGTTTATCACATAATGCACCAGATTACACTACCACATTTTGTAACAATTGCTGCAAAATGTAATAACATTATTACATAATGTGTTGAAGACTTTTATTACATTTTGCGTCAGTTATTACATAATGCGATTTTAGCGCACGTTTATTAAATTTTGAAGCCTGATTTTAATTCATTATTACATAATGTGTTGTTATTACAAAATGAGGTCCTACAGGGAAAGTTAGAATATTGCTGGTTTTATTTTTAATTATTAATTCATCTAAAGTAAATCTAACTGCTGTAAAGTCACTTTCCAAAGCAACTTTTTCACCTTTTGTTTCTTAAGTATTTCAAAATGTCCTTAAATAGGTCCCAACAAAACCAATTGAAATTAAAGTCCATTTTTAACCATATTGCTAAGTATTTCTCCCAATAAAAGATGAACTGAACTGGATAATTCAAACTTTGTCTCAATGACAGCAGATTTACACAGGCTGTCATCAGAACATCACAAAGAAAGTGTTGCAGAGTCTACCTTGTTTAAATGGGGGCTTATGATGGGTGCACATTTTGTGACAGCTCTGAGAGAATGCAATCATAATTTATTTTATTTAACACAAAGTATGTCCATTGTTAGTAAGTGTGAAGAGTTATGACCTCTATGTCCTCAGAGCATAACCAGATGAAAAACAATTTTTTGACAAACATCTAATGTGCCAAGGCTGGCGTTTCTGGGGAGCCAAGTGTAAATAAAAACCACAACATTAAAGATTTAACTTTTACATTTAGTCAGTGAACATTTAAATTTAACCTTTAGTAAAAAGTAGCAAAATGTACGAACAGTGAAATAAATAATAAAACGTTAGTGGAACATTTTAACTAGAGTTTTACACTCAAAGTGAGTTAATTAATGAAAATATGTTAGTGAAATTTTAACATTTTATTTTACACTTGGCACCCTGTAGACATACATGTAAGCAGCTTTGGGAACGGGAAATGACTTTATTTTATTTACTACATCATGAATATACAGTATTATGATTATGTGACTGTCAATATCATAAGCACATAAGCAGCTTATATCAGGGAAGCATGTTATTTTTCAAAACCAGTCACATAAATATAAAGTTATGGGGTGCCGTTTGTAAAGTTACACAGTCAAAAATTACCACCAATATTTTTGTTTTATTTAGCCTTTTATAAGAAAAAATAAACAGATTTATTTTTCAGTCAATTTTTCACCATATGATTTATTTATAAATGTCATAGTTTATAAACTAAATATTTAACTTACAAATTAAATATTTAGTTAACAAGCCAAATATTTAACTTGTGACTTAAATATTTAGTTTTGAGGTAAATATTTAGGTTGTTAACTAAATATTTAGGTTTCAACAAGTCGTTTGTCACTGTTGAGCCTGCCGGTTTATTAACAAACTCACATGTTCACCATTAGCGAGTTAGCCTACTGCTTTAATTCAGCTTCAGAATGAATATATCACACAACTACGCATAGAAGTATGTCATACACCAATATTTTAACACAATGTAGCCACACAACATCAATGTCAATTTCACTAACTTGTGGCGACACATCCTGTTTTGGTAACTGGATATTTCAAAATAAAAGTCTGATTTAATTCAGTTCATATACAAAATAATCTTTTGTGTGGGAACGCAAAACAACTTTGCGAGGTAACGCAAAAGTATTGTGTGGGAACACGAAAGAAAAAAAATCCCCCCATGTCCCCTCGCGGGCTCCGTAAAAACAGGACACAATGTTGTGTCATTGTTTTTAGACTAATATAAACTTAAACTTGATAGCGGATGCTACWACTCAGCTTGAAGTGTCCAATTCTGGACCCTGAGATCTACTATCCTGCATATTTTATCATTTTCTCTGCTTCAACATGATTCAAAAGTGACATTATCTTTTTTCTTCAAATACTGCAGAAGGCAGTTGAACATATTTATTCTGAAGTYGAGAAACATCTAAAACATGCAGGATCATGGCCTCGTGGGCCCAGATTTAAAGACACGGACGGTTAGGTTGGACACTTTTCCTCACCATGGACATCCTTCTCCCTCCGGCTGGAGGAGGCGGAGTCATAACTGGACTCTCCCCTTGGCTCAGGTGCTGGACCTCAGTGTCTGTTCCGCTCTGGGAGGCATCGCTGTCAGACGGACTGGCCAGCTTGGCCTCCGACATTCCTCGGGACAAGAAGCTGCACTTTCTGGCGGAGGGGTAGTGGCTGCTCCCCGGAGAGTCGCTCATGTCGCTGAGCTCCTTGTGGATGCTCACTTTGCTCTGCTTCCTCTGCGGGTTCCTCAGGGCCGCTGGGATCTCGATGTGGCTGGCCATCAGCGTTTCTCGAGGKCCCGTGTAGCATGGCTTGCTCAAACCCTGAGGTCCGTCTGAATTGTCGCTGCAGCACAAGGGCTTCCTGTTGTCCAGGGATAAACGGTGCTCAACCATCGCCAGCTGCTGCGAGCTGTGAAGGTCTGTTTGGCTTGTCTGTGTGGGATGCTGAGTCGAGCCTGCCGGATTTACCAACTGGTAAGGCTGGTGAGAATCAGGACTAGTAACACGTGTGAGCTGCATCAACTTCTGCGGAGAGGAGCTGGTTAGCAGACAAACCTGCTGAACCACRGAGTTCTTCTTTGACCAGCAAACGCTGTCGTCGTCTCCGTACTTGTACCCGTACAAGCTCTGTTTGATCTTTTTCACGCCCAAATGAAAGATCTCCAGGAGGTTGAGGAATAAAGAAACTCCAGCAATGACGAGCATAAAAACCATAAAAATATTCTTCTCTGTTGGTCTCGATACAAAACAGTCCACACTGTTTGGGCAGGGTGACCTTTCACACTTGTACAGAGACGACAGTCCGATACCGTAAAGAACACACTGACCTAYGATGAAACCCACCTCCACCACAGACCGGGTCAAGATATGAAACACATACGTGCGCAGCAAAGAACCTCGGAGTGGAGCTTTCCTGACTTTCTTCTGCTCGTCCAGCTTCTTGAGTTCACGCTCGATCCTTTTATGGTCCTCCTGGTCGGGCTCGGTTCCCTCCAGCTCAGCTTTCAGGAAGGCTTTCTTCTTGTGTCTCTCCTTCTCCAGGGTCCTGAGGCGGTACAAGGCATGGCCCATGTAGACGAGCGAGGGTGAGGACACAAAGATGATCTGCAGGACCCAGTAACGGATGAGGGAGACCGGAAACGCCTGGTCATAGCAAACGTTCTTGCAGCCGGGCTGCTCCGTGTTGCAGACGAACTCGCTCTGCTCGTCGTCCCAGACGTCTTCGGCTGCAACGCCGAGCACGAGCATCCGGAAAATAAACAGGATGGTGAGCCAGATCTTTCCCACCATGGTGGAATGAATGTGAACTTCTTCTAAGATGCTGCCTAATAAGTTCCAATCCCCCATCTTCTCTCACATCAATGTCTGTGAACGAAGAAACAAAATGAACAGGTTTTTAACAGTTTTTTAAACAATTTGAATAAAAAGGTAATACAAATTTGTACTTACATGTTTCCTACTGCCTTTGCCTGGTGTATTTCATCGCACTGATATAAGAAAGCAGGTCCATCTGTGCAAAATTGGAGCTATTTTGCTGTCCCTAAAGCCTGCTGAGACTCCACTGTTGGTTGTAGCTGACACTACTGTCATACTGCTGCAAACTGGGACTCCAGTTTGAACCTATTGATCCTCCACATGAGCCTATAACACTCTGAGGTTAGTCTCACCCTGACACAATTATCAGGACACACGTCTGGAAATAGCACCAACTGAATGTCAATACACTGTGCACATTATAGGTTTTTTAATTTTTATTTTATGCTTATTACAATCTGTTCTAAAGGTTGTAAAAAGAACTGAGATTTCCTTTTGTCTGGACCAAATGTACCATTTATGAAAAGAAATGAATGTAGTGGAGTATGAACTGAACCCACCTTTTACAAAACATAAATATTGGAATGAAAAAACACAAAAACATTCAGTATTTACAAATGTGGACAAAATTGTTGGTACCCCTCGTTTAATGAAAGAAAAATCTACAACGGTCAGAGAAACAACTAGAATCTGCCAAAAGTAAGAATAAATAAAAACTCTATAAAAATTAACAAATGAAAATCGGACATTGCTTTYCAACCATGCTTCAACAACTCATGAAACAGGCCTGGACAGAAATGATGGTACCCCTGAAAATAATGTGACCAAAGGAACATGTTAAATCAAGGTGTGTCCACTAATTAGCTTCACAGGTGTTACAATTATGTAATCAGTCAGTGGACCTGTGTATAGGGCTACAGATACCAAGCTGTTGTGGACCACACCCAACATGGACCAGAGGAAGAGAAGGAAAGAGTTGTGTCAGGAGGATTACAAAGAAAATTATAGACAAGCATGTTAAAGGTAAAGGTTATAAGAMCATCTCCAAGCAGCTTGATGTTCCTGTGACTACAGTTACACCAGTGGTGGATGCTGGTCTTTCAAGAAGAGGAAGCTCAGTTTCGGCCTACAAAAAATGTGTGGGTTATAAATTCTGCCCTCCATTCCTTTTCAAGAAAAAGTTTATAGTTTTATAGTTTTAGTTTATAGTATTTATTAATTTCATTAAAAAAAATTACAACAAAACAATGCAAATAAAATAAAATGAAAGGCAGCAGAAGAAGAAGATCTTGATATC